CTCCTCCATAACTCTCTCCTCCTTTCTCTCTCTCTCTCTCTCTCCCTCTCTCTCTAACTCTCTAACTCTCTCTCTCTCTCTCCTTCTAACTCTCTCTCTCTCTCTCTCTAACTCTCCTCTCTCCCTCTCAACTCTCTCTCTCTAACTCTCCTCTCTACTCTCTCTCTTCTAACTCTCCTCTCTCTAAAACTCTTCTCTAACTTCTCCTATCTAACTTCCTCTCTAACTCTCTCTTCTTAACTCTCTCTCTAAACTGCTCTCTCTAACTCTCTTCTCCTCTCTCCTCTAACTCTCTCCCTCTCTCTCTCCTAACTCTTCTCTCTCTCGCGTCACTCGAACTCTCTCTCTCTCTCTCTTCTCTTAACTCTCGATTCTCATCTCTCTCTCTCTCTCTCAACTCATCTCGCTCTCTTTCTCTCTCTCGTCTAACTCTCTCCTCTCTCTCTCTCTCGTCTCGCTAACTCTCATCTCTCTCTCTCTCTCTCTCTAACTCTCTCCTCTCTCTCTCTCTCTCCTTCTTAACTCTCTTCTCTCTCTCTCTCTCTCTAACTCTCTCTCGTCTCTCTTCTCTCTTAACTCTCTCTCTCTGCTCTCTCTCTCTCTAACTCTCTCTCTCTCCTCTCTCTCTCTAACTCTTCTCGCTCTCTCTCTTCTCTTCCATTCGCGCGCACCCCGGGGGGGGGCGGCACGGTTCCAAACTACCCCGCACCCCAGGCGTGCCGCCACCCCCTCAGTCATGCCCGTGCGATGCCGCTCGCCGCCGCGCTCGCCGCCGAGAGCGTCGTTGAACCGGAACGCCCGCCGCCGCCGCCGCCCGGGCGCTGCGCTCGGCTACGGCTCGGCTTCGTCCGCGCCCGCCGCCGCTGGCATCCCCCCCCCATGGCACGCGCGCCCTGCGCCCGGAGGCGACAATGCGTGGGCCAGTGGTACGTGGCCGGCCCGGCCCGGCCGCGAGTCTGCGCGGGAGAGCGATGGGGCGTGGGCTGAAGGCCACGGGTAGCGGCTCAAGTTGAAAACCATTCCTTAGAGCCGTTGCCAGGGTCCAGGTCCTGATAGAATGGCAGTACTTCGCATGCACCGAGTTTTTGCTGTTTCTAGAAACGTTTAGGAAATGGCATATTATTTTCTGCCCGTCAAAACTTCTGAATTCTGTGCATTACCTTTTATAAGACTTAAAAACTATGAATTAATATATTAATAATACTAATTATTAGAATATTTATATTTTTATCTATTCCTAAAATTCAAAAATATTATGCGGTGTTAATTGTTAGCGAAGATGATGTTACCAATTAGGATAAAAATTTAGATTCATGAATTGTAGACTACAAAAAATTCAAGCTTTAAATCTTGTGTTCAAAGATTGCGCAAATTGATGAGTAAAAGAAATGGAGCAAATTAGTCTCTCTACGAAGTCCGCTAAAATTTAGGATTTAATTTTTTTTAAATAGACAAATAAAAAACACTGTACTATTCTTAACGTTTGTTATACTATCATAAACTTTAGTAACATGACTAAAGCAGATGCTCCCTCTCGGTTGGGAGCTGTCCTCTGAAACTTCTTCAGGTCTCGAGCCACGGGCGCGTTCGTCGATTTGCTGCCAAGCCTTCCAAGTTGCCTCTCAGAGGAAACCTGCAGTTGCGACACTCTTGTGAAATGCCGCTTTAATAATTCCCCCGTGTGTCGCTACCAAAGGATCGAGCAGCAGCGATTCATCCGAAGGGGAAAAAAAAAGTTCTCCGTCGATTACTTTAATTCAATGTTTGGGCATCCGGAAGATGAAAGGAACGAAGCT